TAGTGTTGGAGGTATAATGTGGGCAGGAATAAGCATTATTGACTGAACCATCTTCTACATTTTGTGGAATGGTACCATTAATGCCACACACATTATGAGGACTATATCCCTTGTGCTGCTGTATGTAAGTGTAGTTAACCCTAACTTCAGCCTAATGATAACGCCTGCTCCAGTCGTGCCATATTGGCCGATACATTACCCGGAGAATAGAGTATTGACCTAATGAAGTGAGTGACCTACACGGTCACCGGAAATCAATCCCATCAAGCATATATACGGAATACTATTTGTAGACGCGGGGTAATAAATATCCTCTGGAAACAGTTTTTTGACAGGAGTGATCTGTGATACCTCGACACCTTAATAACACTTTTGCTAGGCTGATCTTACCGTTACAGGTGACCACACTTAATACTGAAGTGAAATATCAGAAATGTAACGATGTAATGTCACCTTTACGAACTGTTCTACCTACAATCATAGACTGAATGACCACACTTTGAGATCGCATATCATCCAATATCTGAGTTGAATTAAAATAAGTGGGGGAAGGAAAATTGTTTGACATTGTTTTTCAACAACGGTTGTGCGTTGCTGTAACTAAAACATCATACATTCCCCTTTGTTGTTGTTGTTTTTCCGCGTAGTATATTGTCCAGAAGATATTTTCTTTAGTAGTTGCGTCCATAAGCCTGTTCTTAGTCTTTCAAATTTTTCAACCGAGAGCTATTTAATACTTCATTTTTGAATGAAGTTACTTTGATATCCCTTATATATTATATAAGTGGGTTAAGGTAGATGTAAGGTAGATCTTATACACCGGGAGGGCCCGGTGGTTAGGGCGCTCGACTCGCAATCTAAGGGTCGCGGGTTCGAATCCCCGTCCCACCAAATATGCTCGCCCTTTCAACCGTGGGGACGTTATAAAGTGACGGTCAATCCCTCTATTTGTTGGTGAAAGAATAGCCAAAGAGTTGGCGGTGGGTGGTGGTGACTAGCTGCCTTTCCTCTAGTCTATCACTGATAAATTAGTGACGGCTAGCGCAGATAGTCCTCGTGTAGCCTTGCGCAAAATTCAAAACAAACAAATTCACCGGGAGTTGAAATTAAATCTTGTAATTGGCAGATACTTCATTGAAAAATTGTCTGGATGTTCTAATATGATGTTTTTTAACTGTATTTAGAAGTTACACAAGGGTTATCTGTACATAGCCAACCCTAATTTTCAACCGATAGACTAGAGGGAAGGCAGCTAATGAACAACACACACCGCCAACTCTTGTCTGACAGAATATTAGCATATGACTCTAATCCTTAATTCGCATCTACGTTTCCAAAGTGTGGAGCGCAACGGACTGCAAACCATGGATCCTGTGATTCCCAGGCCATGACCGTCCTCTGTGTTATAAGAATACAGTTACAGTCCTTAATTGGTCTTTACTAACAAATGTAACTCATAGTTACACTTCAGAATAGGCAGTTTATTAATAGATGTAAAATATAGTTACACTTTACAGAGGATCACGTATTAACAGTAATAAAAATAGAACGGGTCGTATATTAATAGATATGAACATTTTGTGTCAAGTGTGATGGGTTGTACGCACCGCGAGGATCGAACCATGCATTTTAGCCTTATAAATTTTGAAGCTTACTGCTGATCCACTGGCAAGAGAGAAAGAAAGGAAAATGTTTTGTTTAATCGGTTTAATACTGGACTACTGCAAGGTTCGAACCGTTGTTAGTTAACCTAAGTTCTTAGTTTCTTTAAATTATAAACGTATATATATGGTTGTGGATTTATGAAGGCAGATTTTTCATACCACTTCATTATCTTACTTTGATAAAGTTTTAAAATTCTGGTATCACTGGTCAAGATTTGATAAAGATTTAAGATTCTGGTATCACTGGTCGAGATTTGATAAAGATTTAAGATTCTGGTATCACTGGTCGAGATTTGATAAAGTTTTAAGATTCTGGTATCACTGGTCGAGATTTGATTGCAAAAAAAATATCTTTCAACCATTTGTCTGTAACGACGTCTTGATATGAATTACACTTCAGGAGCGTAGCACTTGGATATCGAAAAGTTGCGGGTTCGAACCTTACTCGTCGTGCCCAGCTGTTGTGTGTTTGGAAAAACTCTTTACTTACTCCAGTCTACCCCGCTGTTAAATGTATACAATTAACTTAACTAGCGATGGACTGACATCTCGGCCGGGGAGAATGTGTCCTGTTTGTGCCCGGAACAGATAAACTATTAACTTCTACTTCATTCGATATTCGTCCCTAACTGTGACCATCATATTAATTTTACAAATATGCATATACTTATAGCACAGACAGAAAGCTTTGGCCCGGATGCCGGGAGAGAGAGAGAGATGGACGAGTAGATATTTTAATTTCATCATTGATAAATAGGAGGAGCATAGTTACGGTCTCTAAGCGAAGTCAACATCAGAAGTCGGTACTAATCTATCTCCTTGAGACACGTTTTTTTTGTGTGTATGTGATTGACGTGTTGAAACAGAGCGATTAAAACGAATAACATAATGTGTAAAATTCTTGGTATCAAACCTCGAATTTTAGTACTGTATACACGCAGACTCACTAAAGAGCCACTAAGAGGGGGGTAGGGGGCAATTTTAAAGAGAAAATGCGATTGTAAAATTCTGGTTATATTTCCTGCTTCACAAGTTCTTTTTTTTTTTTCGATCCTCAAGAAACAAAATAAAGCCAGTAAACCTCCAAATCAAACTGCCCAGTTGTTCTAAATTAAACTTTTTCCGCCGCTGACCACTTCGACGGGGCAAAGGACCCGGTGGACCACCTATCGGTCCTACCCAACCCGCTTTCGCTTGCCACCGCAAAAAAAAACAACAACAACAAACAAACAAAAAATAATCAGAATAATTGAGAAGAATGTCGCTGATTTTGATGTGGATTGCATTTTGGATCAGCTTCTGGACCACCAATGGTTCGCACTTTGAGAACCACTGATTTAGACCATCAACGGAAGAATCTGTTTAAGCGCTAAGCTGCATAATGGGCTATCCGTAGGGACGGAACCTCCAAAACTTAGTAACAGCTGTCAAGAGGCACGGGAAGGTTTGTTTGTGAATAAGCACAAAGCTACACAATGAGCCATCTGTGCTCTGCCCACAACGGGTATCGAAACCCGGATTCTAGTGTTGTAAGTCCGCAGACATGCCGCTGTGCCACTGGAGGGTAGCACGGGAAAGGGAGGTGGGGAATACAGGTATTTAATGATAATGACGTTTACCATCAGGCAAAAGATACAGACCAAAGTATATAAATAATAATAAAATATGTAGTGTAGATTTTTATTAGCAACTAGGCCCGGCATGGCTAGGTGGTTAGGGCACTCGATCCGTAATCTGAGGGTCGCGGGTTCGAATCCCCGTCA